AGCTCTCTAAGGGTACATCCATACCAGCTGTTGTTCTTGGACTACTCCCAGGACACATGGAGTCTGTCCCCGGCCTCTGGAGAAGAGGTAGGGTCAGGGTTTTCGCAAAAACACCAAACTACCTTCATTGCAACACCGCTCAGCTGCAGTCGGTTTCCTCTGCGAAACCGTTGCTCTGTATATAAACACACACACACTTCATGTCCTTTGTCCTACGGTTCCCCTTTAACCTCATCAACCTCGCCACGTACTCTATTGGCTACGTGATGCCCCAGAGTCATGTTTCAGTTCTTCCGTGACCTACTTCAGCCGTAACCCCATCTGCATCAGCTCCATTGAGCAAAGGCATGCCTCTTTATAGACTTCCGCTGTCACGTAAATTGGGAGTTCGGGGACGGGTTTAAGATGAAGCAACTTGTTACAGGACCGCAAACGGAGGCAGGGTGCTTTTTTTAAAGGTCCTGAAGATGGTCTTCAAGTGCATGTGTGGAGCATGAGGCTAGCAATGGCCGCAAGGGCTGGACTCTGCTTGCGCTATCGGAATGCCTCTGAATTCCAGTTGGTTGGGAATCCCACTAGTAGGGGAAACACTCCGGTCCTCCTTGTGGGTTTCCCATAATAGGTTGGCCACCGTGAGAACCAATTGCTGGACTAGATGGGCACCATTTGGACCTGATCCACCAGGGCATTTTTCTGCACCTATGCATGCTGAAGGATCTGAAAGCAGAGCTGTAGGATCGGCAAAATATAGGATGGGGGATACCTAGATTGCCAGGAGTACATGTGAAAAGTATCTAGAGGTCTTGGTGGACCACAAGCTCAACATGAGTCAACAGCATGATCCAGCAGCAAAAGAAAGCTACATGCTCTTCTAGGTAAAGGTAAAGGTAAAGGTTCCCCCCGCCAGTCCCAAAGAGCAGGTCAAAAGGAATCTGAAGCCTCCGGAGCCCAGTGGGAACTCCTGCCACGCTCCAGAGTCTTCGGGTTGCCTTCACTGAAGCCTAGAGAGCAAGAAGGGTCAGTGCGCACCGACCCCTCTTGCTCTCCAGGCTTCCAAGGTAGCCGCCTGAAGCCTCCAGAGCGCAGCGGTAACTCCCGCTGCGCTCCGGAGGCTTTGGGTGAATGCACCTTGAACGCACCTTGTTTTAGAGGGGGCGAACAAGAAAAAAAATGTTTTTTCCTGTTCTCCCCCTCCTATGGTCCGGTGCGTCCTATCGAGCGAAAAATACGGTAATTGAGCAGGCCTTTCATCTATGTAAAAAGCTGCTTTACCTATCCAATTGCAAGCTCATCTTTAACCCACAAAGGTGCTCCAAATTTGATTTAACATTTGTATTCTGTTTTTCCAATGACAGGTGCCGAGCTCAAAGCGGCTCACAACACAATAGCATGGAAAAAAAACCAACAATGTCACAATCAGTATACTATCAAACAGAACAGAACAGAAAATAAAGCAAATAACAACAAATTCATCAAAATGATCAGTGCAAGTCAAGCAAAGTCACAGGAATTCAAAATATCAAAAAAATAAAATAAAACCAGAAATCAAAATGATTTATACAATTCAACAAAGTCATAGCAGCTCAAACTCAAATTGCTCAGATGCCCTCCTCATGTCGCGTCATGCATATTCCAGTGAAGGTCTACTTTGAAGTAAGTCCCGCAGTGCTCAGTGGAGCTCATTCCCACACACCCTGCCTTCAGCTCCTTGGAGGAATGGAGGGATAGGAATGCAAAATAAATAAATAAATAAATAAATAAATAATTTTATTTATAACCTGCCCTCCCCAGCCAGCAGCTAACACCAATAAAATAAAATCACAGTAAAAACATAATATGGGGGAAAGAGAGGGAGGGGAAAAACCAAATTAAAATACAGGTTAAAATGCAATTTAAAATGCAGCCTCATTTTAAAATAGCTGATAAATCAAGACCATGAGGGAAACATAAGGGTCAGACCGAGTCCAAACCAAAGGCCAGGTGGAACAGCTCTGTCTTGCAGGCCCTGCGGAAAGATGTCAAGTCCCGCAGGGCCCTAGTCTCTTGTGAGAGAGCGTTCCACCATGTCGGGGCCAGTGATGAAAAGGCCCTGCCCTAGTTGAAACCTTGTATGGACTGCTTTGCAAGGCTCGTCTTCACTCCTGGGGTTGCCAGCTTTCCCGCTGTGTCTGGACCAGCAAGCAGCCCCTAAACACCAAGAATCTGAACTAGCTGGAGAAAAGCTTGCTAAGCAACAACCAGAACCTGGCAAATGGAAGCCCTTCATCGCAGAAGCTTCTGGGTCTCAGCGCAACACCCCCACATGGTGAGCCACTGAACTGCAGGTGGGCAAATTCTCCATGAAGGAGCTGAGTCTGTCCACCCAGTATGAGAGGACTTCCTGTTCCACCGGGGTCCGGCTTGAGCAACATGGTCTTCCTGAGCTCTGGCTCTCTGGTTATTCTTTGGTGGTGGTTTCTGGCCTGCTCCTTGACCCTGCCTGTGGTTCCAACTTGTCTTTGGTCCCGACCCCTAGCTTGCCCCACAACCTCTGGCTCTTGGCAGCTGCCCACGACCTTCCTCAGCTCAGCTCAAGTTTCTGAGCCAAGTGCTGTCCATGCATTTCCAAACTCACTTCAGGGAGCTGAAAACATTTTTGTTTTCTATAAAGTAGACGTTCTCCAGATGCTGAATTCTGGAGGAGACACCAAATTCTGAACATGTGCTGCTGCAAGCACATGGGAGCAGGCTATGAATAGCAAGGATGGGGGAACCTTGTAATACCAGAACCCGCTAGGGCCATCCAAGAAAGCTGAATGTTGGAAGATTCAGGCACCAGCTTGGAAGGCTTGGAAAATGGATTAGACAAAACTATGGTGGGCAACAGGGACGCGGGTGGAGCTGTGGGTTAAACCACAGAGCCTAGGACTTGATAATCAGAAGGTTGGCGGTTCGAATCCCCGTGGTTCGAATCACCCGATGGGGTGAGCTCCCATTGCTCGGTCCCAGCTTCTGCCAACCTAGCAGTTCGAAAGCACACCAGTGCAAGTAGATAAATAGATACAGCTCCGGCAGGAAGGTAAACGGCGTTTCTGTGCACTGCTCTGGTTCGCCAGAAGCGGCTCAGTCATGCTGGCCACATGACCTGGAAGCTGTCTGCGGACAAACGCTGGCTCCCTCAGCTTATAGAGTAAGATAAGCGCCACAACCCCAGAGTCATCTGTGACTGCACCTAATGGTCAGGGGTTATTGTTTAGTCGTGTCCGACTCTTCGTGACCCCATGGACCAGAGCACGCCAGGCACTCCTGTCTTCCAATGCCTCCCACAGTTTGTCAAACTCATGCTGGTAGCTTGGAGAACACTGTCCAACCATCTCGTCCTCTGTCGTCCCCTTCTCCTTGTGCCCTCCATCTTTCCCAACACCAGGGTCTTTTCCAGGGAGTCTTCTCTTCTCATGAGGTGGCCCAAGTATTGGAGCCTCAGCTTCAGGATCTGTCCTTCCAATGAACAATCAGGGCTGATTTCCTTCAGAATGGAGACGTTTGATCTTCTTGCAGTCCATGGGACTCTCCAGAGTCTCCTCCAGCACCATAATTCAAAAGCATCAATTCTTCGGCGATCAGCCTTCTTTATGGTCCAGCTCTCACTTCCATACATCACTACTGGGAAAACCATAGCTTTAACTATACAGGCCTTTGTTGGCAAGGTGATAGGCAAGGCTACCAATGGCTGTTAGCCACTATGGCTATTTTACCTCCAGTGTCAAAGGTGGCATGCCTCTGAACACCAGTTGCTGGGAATCACAAACTGGGAGTGCGCTGTGGTGTCCAGGGCCTGCTTGCAGGCTTCGCAGATGTATCTGGTTGGCCCCTGTGAGTTAAAAGATTCTGGACTAGGTGTGCTTTTGGTCTGATACCATCAGCCACACTGTTCTTACATTCTTTTGAAATGACTTGGTTCCCTAGGAAGCAAAACTAAAATCTCCATGGAATGGGTGTAGGTGATGAAGGGGGGTAATGAAGAGATGGACTGCCCCGTAAAATTTCTCTGCAGTGCTGGTTATGACTACATAAAATCTGGATCTCAAACAGTTCGTGTTCTGCCACAATATTTATGGAAGTGTAGACACGTACCAGACAAACGGGAGTCACAGAACCTCTAGTTTGATGCTCTGCATTTATTTTTTTTCCGTTCCTGGATTCCAAGTGTTTGTATACTGTTATAACAAAACGTCTATTGTCAGGGTACAAACAGACTTCAGTTGATGTTCTCGCTTTTTCCGCCAGTGGTGAAGAAAGAGACAGAGACGGAAAGTTCCAAAATCTAAACTAAACTCACAAAAAAGTCCACTTGGCAGCGTTAAGCTAGAAGATGGAAAATACCATAATTCTGCACAATCGTGTCCCAAATTTTGGAATACTGCTCACGGCACGGCGTCCACCAAGTGGTTCCAAATCCTAAGCAGTCTTGGATCATGACAGCTGCCCCCCCCCTAAACCCTGCCCACATGTGTGGAGATGTTGATCTCCTGTTGGGTTGTTGATATTCTGGTGTGCCTTCAGCATGTGGCAAGGGATGGAAATAGGAATGCCCAAATCGTTCGAGCCACCGGAAGCAAAAGGATGAGGTAGTGGCTCAGCTGAGGGGCAAACGGAAGGAGCATGGCTGTGGCAGTAGGGGCTCATCCACCAAAACATTGCCACAAAGGACAAGTGAAAAAGAAAGTACTTCTTCACACAGAGCGTAGTGTGGACTATGGAACTCACTTCCACAAGAGGCAGCAATAGCCACCAACTTGGATGGCTTTAAAAGAGGATTAGACAAATTAATGGAGAAGAGGGCTATTGAAAGCTACTAGCCTTGATGCCTCCACAGTCAGGGACATAAATGCTTACAAATTCCAGTTGCTAGAAACCACAGGACGGGGAGCGCTCTTTTCTCATATCTCATAGTATCGTAGAGTTGGAAGGGACCCTGAGGACAATCTAGTCCAACCCCCTGCAATTCAGGAATATACAGCTGTCTCTTACCGGGGATCGAACCTGCAACCTTGGCGTTGCCAGCACCACACTCTAACCAACTGAGCTGTGATGGAATCCTCCTTCCTGGTTTCCCACAGGCATCTAGCCACTGTGAGAACAGGATACTGGGCTAGATGGCCCATTGGAGCGTCTCTACCCTCATCGTTCTGCCCAGACACTGAGATCCAGCTCCAAGGGCCTTCTGGCGGTGCCCTCCCTGCGAGAAGCCAAGTTACAGGGAACCAGGCAGAGGGCCTTTTCGGTGGTGGCACCCACCCTGTGGAACACCCTCCCATCAGATGTCAAAGAGAACAACAACTACCAGACTTTTAGAAGACATCTGAAGGCAGCCCTGTTTAGGGAAGCTTTTAATGTTTAATAGGTTATTGTAGTTTAATATTCTGTTGGAAGCCACCCAGAGTGGTTGGAGAAATCCAGCCAGATGGGCGGGGTATAAATAATAAATTATTATTATAATTATTATTGTTGTTGTTATTGTTGTTGTTATCCAGCAGGCCCTTCTTGTGTTGTTATGTTCACACATGTTACAAATCTCCTACCAAAAATAATGCACGCGAATGTCCACACCAGTGGGGACTGTGGATATAGAATGGGTTATTTTTAACAGATTTTTCCATGAAAAGGGGAACTCTTTAAATTAAAGCGGTGTTGTTGTTGTTTTTTAAAAAAGAATCAGCTCCCAGTTTGATGACATCATGTGGGCAGTGCAAAGAACTTGTGTACATAAACAGCACCGATTCCACAATAAACTTTTATGTCTGGGAGTAACTGTAGTTGGACTAGCTTTTTAAAAGGGGGGAGGGGCTTTTGCATAACCCCAGGTTGTCCCCCAAATTTCCCATAAAGCCAATTTTAAAACAAATGAGAAACTTGAGCTTATTTGGTGTCTCCTCCTCAGACAATTCATTCAGGAAATTTTAAGAGAAGCTGAGGGGGTTTAGACGAGGCTGGAGACACTGGTAATTTTCAATCTCAAGACTTCTTTGAGATGCAGTTGGCTACCAGAGGTTGCCCTGCAAGGAGAAGTGAAAGAGAACGATGAAAGGAGAATTTGGGGGCAAAGTGGACCTCAGGGACACCCCAAGACTGTTTGGGATTCAATGACATAAAAGCAAATTCCGTTTGCACACGTAAAGTTGATCCACAGCTCTTGCACAACAAACCTGCTCCCCTAAAAATTCTGCCTTTTTTTCCTTTTTGCAATGATGAAAGTGACAGGAAAACGTGCTAGAAAGTTGGGAAGAATACCTGCTTGGTGCTGCAGTATCTAACCTCCCTGCGAACGAGCCAGGATAAATGTTCAGTAAGAAGGTTGCCCAGAAGTGGCCCAGAATCGTAGCTTTCCTGCGCTAAACAGACAAAGCGAGATCCTCCCATATCACAGCTGACAAAGGAATTGCTCTCTGCACGTGGGCAGGGTGGCAGCAAGCACAGCAGGGTGCCCTGTTCCCTCACCCCCCAGGGATCATTCCCACACTGTGACCTGACAGCCGACCCAGAGAGCCGTCCAGCAGGCAAACAAATTGAGACAGGTTTTGATTGATCCCTTGATTGAGGGAGGCACACTCTGATTCTGCTCACAGCAAGCAAACAGCCTGCCCAGGAGCCGAGTCTCCCAGTTTGTCCAGGAAAAATTGTTGCAGGCAGAGGGTCGGGGGACAACAGGGACTTTTAGACAGCTTAAATGCTGTGGGATACCCAGCCTCATACAGTATAACCAACATAAAAAGGTAAAGGGACCCCTGACCATTAGGTCCAGTCGCGGCAGACTCTGGGGTTGCGGCGCTCATCTCGCTTTACTGGCCGAGGGAGCCGGCATACAGCTTCTGGGTCATGTGGCCAGCATGACTAAGCCGCTTCTGGCGTACCAGAGCAGCACATGGAAACGCCGTTTACCTTCCCAACGGAGCGGTACCTATTTATCTACTTGCACTTTGACGTGCTTTTGAACTGCTAGGTTGGCAGGAGCAGGGACCGAGCAACGGGAGCTCACCCCGTCGCGGGGATTCGAACCGCCAACCTTCTGATCGGCAAGTCCTAGGCTCCCACAGCGCCACCCGCGTCCATAACCAACATACCTAAGTCTATTTAATGCGTGAAGGGGTTAAGACTTTCGTGTCCAGAAAGTGGTGTTGGGGGGTGAGTGTTCAGACCCCTGGGCTCTCACTTGTGGGGTGCCTCAGGGCTTCGTCCTCTCCCCCATGCTTTTTAATATCTATATGAAGCCGCTGGGAGAGATCATCAGGGGGTTTGGACTGGGTGTCCATCAATATGCAGATGACACCCAGCTCTACCTCTCTTTAAAATCAGAACCAGTGAAGGTGGTGAAGGTCCTGTGTGAGTATCTGGAGGCGGTTGGAGGATGGATGGTGGCTAACAGATTGAGGTTGAATCCTGACAAGACAGAAGTACTGTTTCTGGGGGACAGGGGGTGGGCGGGTGTGGAGGACTGCCTGATCCTAAATGGGGTAATTGTGCCCCTGAAGGACCAGGTGCGCAGCCTGGGAGACATTTTGGACTCACAGCTGTCCATGGAGGTGGAGGTCAATTCTATGTCCAGGGCAGCTGTCTACCAGCTCCATCTGGTACGCAGGATGAGACCCTACCTACCCACAGACTATCTCGCCACAGTGGTGCATGCTCTGGTTATCTCCCGCTTGGACTACTGCAATGCACTCTACATGGGGCTACCTTTGAAGGTGACCCAGAAACTACAACTAATCCAGAATGCAGCAGCTAGACTGGTGACTGGGAGTGGCCGCCGGGACCACATAACACCAGTCCTGAGAGATCTGCATTGGCTCCCAGTGCATTTCTGAGCACAATTCAAAGTGTTGGTGCTGACCTTTAAAGCCCTAAATGGCCTCAGTCCTGTATACCTGAAGGAGCGTCTCCACCCCCATCGTTCTGCCCTGACACTGAGGTCCAGCTCCGAGGGCCTTCTGGTGGTTTCCTCCCTGCCAGAAGCGAGGTTACAGGGAACCAGACAGAGGGCCTTCTCGGTAGTGGCGCCCATGCTGTGGAACGCTGTCCCATCAGATGTCAAGGAAATAAGCAGCTATCTTATTTTTAAAAGAGATCTGAAGGCAGCCCTGTTTAGGGAAGTTTTTAATATTTAATTCTGTATTGTTTTTAACACTTGATTGGGAGCCGCCCAGAGTGGCTGGGGAAACTCAGCCAGATGGGTGAGGTATAAATAAATTATTATTATTATTATTATTATTATTATTATTATTATTATTATTAAATAAGACCATAGATTCAGCTGCCCTGAAAGGCTTAGCTCACCTTGGGAGGAGCTATGTGTGGATGTGCACATTGCGTGGCCCTGGCTCCCTCAACAGCGGAGGCAAACCGTTGTGCTTGGCGGGGGGTTGGACTAGATGACCCTTAGGGTCCCTTCCAACTCTACAATTCTATGACTCTTGCCACAATATGTTCTACCTCCACAGCTGGAGGCAGCAATGCTTGCTTCTGAATACCAGTTTCTGGAAACCGCAGGAGGAGCAGACGCTCTTGTGTTCGAATCTTGCTTGTGGGCTTCCCGCAGGCCATCTTGCTGGCCCCTGTGAGAACAGGATGCTAGACTAGATGGGGCCAGTGGCCGGATCCAGCAGGCCCCCTTTCTCTGGGGGCTGCCAAGTCCTACCACCCCAATCCTGACCTGGCAAAATCTGTGATTTTCACAAAGACGCCAGACCCAAGCAAAGAGCTAAATGCCAAGTGAAGCCAGATGCAAAATTAAGCAGATGGGGCCCTCACCTGCGTGTGAACTGAGGCAGCCATAGCTGCAGCTGCCTCCCTCCATCCCCGGCGCACTGACACAGCGGAGACTGTCTGCAATCAATTCTGCGCACACTTAGAGAACCTTCAAGTGCTTCAAGAGGGCGAGAGAAGTACGATGTTTAGAAAAGACACCCAGAAATGGAAGGGGCACGTGGGCTTTGCTCCTGCTCTCATAATACCACAGCTTGCGGCCATTCGATGATGCTTAATGCTGGAATATTTGAGGCACAGGAAAGAAAGCGAATAGTTTTTAAACTACAGTCGTACCTTGGTTTTCAAACAGCTTAGCTGTTTTGTCTCCCGAACGCCGCTAACCTGGAAGTGACTGTTCCGGTTTGCAAACTATTTTTGGAAGCCGAACGTCCGACGGGGCTTCCGCAGCTTCTGATTGGCTGCAGGAGTTTCCTGCAGCCAATCAGAGGCCGTGCTTTGCTTTCCAAACGTTTTGGAAGTCGAACCGACTTCTGGAACAGATTCTGTTTGACTTCCAAGAATGGAATGGTTTGCAGAAGATTGGCAAGGGCTTCTGACTTCCAGCGGTTTAACAATAGCAAGAGCAAAACTATTTTATCCTCCTAAATTAAGCTGATGAAATGAAGATACCCGGGAGTAGGGATAGTCATGAAGTTGGTTAAAAGCAAGCTCAGAACTGAACAATTGGCTCCCCACTGCACAGGGAAGATCTCGCAAATGGCCTGTGATACTGATCTCTCCATAATATTTTTTAACCTCAAACTATCTTTCTTACACCCAGGTAAGCTGATGTAGGATTGGCCTCATTCCCTCAGAGAGTGGGAGAAGCGAGAGGGAGGGATGAAGGGTGATTCAGGTCCTCTCTCCACAAGGGATGAACTCCTATGAAGTTTTCTGAACCAGAACAAAGCAGCCGCAAACTGAAGAACTTTGAACAGCTATGGACTGGGATCCAATGTACAGCCAATGAACAATGAATGAACAGGTATAGTGTCAAATTGCATCCCTAACTAGGTGTTGACTTTTGTATGAATGAACCGCAAACTCAGATCAGGTACTGGAAGCAAATTCCTAAGCTTAGAGAACAGGAATTCTTTAAACAGCTTGGATGTGCTTCTTAGTTTAGCCTCTCCCAACTGGGTGTCCTCCAGATGTTTTGGACTTCAGCTCCCATCACCCAGCAGAAACATCTGGAGTGCACACTTTGGAGAAGGCTGACATAGTTCCCTTGCTTGCACCTCAGTCCTAAATACCCATTTATTTGGCAAAGTCCCTTTAAATTTGGTAG